GCTGCTGAGCCCCGTTCAGTTGCTTACGCTAACGGCAGCTAAATTAGCAGTTAACGGGTGAATATCAGAATATTATTGGTTGAAATCAGTTAGTTCATGCTGACGTAAGCACGCGTCACATTGTGTTTTACAGGAAGTCACAATGATTGAATTCTGATATAAAAATACAAAGAAATTGAATTTTTTGTAAATTGACATTATTAAATATGGGAACAATATCACTGATGATGTTCTCTTAAAGGGTTAAAATTATATTTTTAATTTCCCCTAGACTTTAATGTCTTCTTCTAATGTCAAAAATGCATAAAAAGACTCCCCGGCTACTTCTCTCAGACTGCTTGTGGAAAACTCTCGAGATGTAGCAGCTAAATAACTTCCTAAAGATGAAATAAACAGCAGGTATATAAGGTTAAGTTCTTTGCAAGAAGACAGGAGTGAGACGGAGGTGTGATTTGGGGGAGTGAGAGAAAGGTAGGGCATAGACGTACGTGACATGTTTCTTGAAGAGATGAGTTTTCAATCCCCACCGGTACATAGGCAGTGACTATGCAGTCCTGAATGGGATGGGAAGGTCATCCCTCCGTTGGGAGACAAGAGGGAACAAAGTCGAGGCCGCCTGGAGGCAATTCACCGTAGGAAAGGAGGAACTAAGCTCCCAGTAGGAGCTGATGGGCTTTTACAGACTCAATAAGAGACAAAAACCCCCTGGGAACAGTGTGCAGTGTGGCCTTTCATGAAGATTACTTCTATTGCAATTAGACACCGGGGCTCACTCGCCCTTATTTAGTGTTTTTTTATCTGAAAAGTCGCCAAGTTCAAGGTCTCCACTAGAAGACCCACCGCTGTGCTTAAGTACCCAGGACACATGCATTTACTTAAGGTTATATAAATGAAATTCACTGCTACTAGAAATCTACGGCCCATCAGACTCCATTGACAAAACCAATCATTTAAAGCACACTTCAAACTAGACGGATACAAAATAAAACATCATCATTATTGACAAAAACAGTACTTTTACTTTGCATATTATCGGAACTTCACTCAAAGTGGACAGAAACAGAATAAAACTCACAAAAAC